ACTTTGGGAGGCCGAGACAGGCGGATCACGAGGTCTGGAGTTCAAAACCAGCCTGGCCAACATGATGAAACCCCGTCTCTGCTAAAAATACAAAAATTAGCTGGGCATGGTAGCATGCGTCTGTAGTCCCAGCTACTCGGGAGGCTGAAGAGGAAGAAGCAATTGAACCCAGGATGCAGAGGTTGCAGTGAGCTGAGGTCGGGCCAATGCACTCCAGCCTGGGCAACAGAGCAAGACTCCATCTAAAAAAAAAAATTGCAGGCCCATCCCCAGGCATTTTCTGTCCATTTTCCCAGCCATTCTTTTTTCATGTTATTTATTGCTATCTGGAATATTGTGTATTTTAATTACTTATTTCTTTATTACCTATCTTCCTCCATTATAATGTAAGCTCCATAGGAACTGGTATTTTTTGGCTGTTTTGTTTACTGCTATGCCTGCAGTTCCTAGAGCAATGCCTGGCACATAGTAGATACTCAACAAATATTTGTTGAATAAACGCTAGCCTTCCTATTCCTTTCTGCGAATATTAAATAAAGAAGGAGGTCAGTCCTTGCATTATACATTATAATTGTATCAAACTTATGGGCAGGAATCCCAAGAATGTCAAAGAACAGGTTTGCCTACATAAAAGGCCTTTATTTCCAGATCCTCCTTACCATAAGAGATAGGAAGCAAGCTTTAAAACCTTAATTGGGGTCAGTTAAAAGAAAGATACCCGGAGCAGCTAAATCTGGGCCCAAGTTTACCCATTACTGTTCGTATCTTTGGTACTAGGAGATAACGTTTAAAAGTAATTTGCTCTCTGTGTCTATCTCTGATGTCCAGGAGAAATCTTAGTGCTTGTTATCTGGTTGTCTGATATTATCTCTAAGGTCTTGACTCAAATGCTTGAGTATACTCTCCATCATTATTTCACAGTCATTCCAATACAGTCCTGTGCCACACTGATATTTTGGTCAATGACAAATTGCAAATACAAGAGTGATCTCATAAGATTATAATGAAGCTGCCCCATACAGGCATACCATTTGTAATCTTTTATCCATATTTTTACTGTACCTTTTCTATGTTTAGATATGTTTAGATACACAAATACCACAATGTTACAATTGTCTGGAGTATTCAGTACAGTAACATGCTGTGCAGGTTTGCAGCCTAGAAGCAATAGGCTATACCATCTAGCCTAGGAGTGTAGTAGGCTAGACCATCCAGGTATGTGGAAGTCCACTCGGTGATGTTTGTACAACCACAAAATCACCTGAGGATGCACTCCTCAGAACGTATCCTCAGTGTTCTTCCATGCCAACATTCTTCAATCTGCTTGTGTGACTGGCCAGTTCCTCCCATTGTTGTTGTTGTTGTTTGAGACAGTGTCTTGCTCTGTCGCCCAGGCCAGAGTGCAGTGGCGGTGGCCTGATCACAGCTCACTGCAGCGTCAACCTTCCAGGCTCAAAGGATCCTCCTACCTCAGCCTCCCAAGTAGCTGGAACCACAGGCACGCACAACCACACTCAGCTAATTTTTGTATTTTTTATAAACACAGGGTTTTACCATGTTACCCAGGCTAGGCTCGAACTCCTGGACTCAAGCAATTCAACAGCCTTGGCTTCCTGAAGTGCTAGGATTACAGGTGCGAGCCACTGTGTCTGGCCTTTCCATTGTTTTTATTGTCTTAATGGCACGGTGGAGTCTCCTTAAAGGGGTAAGTCACCCTAAATCAGCAGTCAAGGCAATCTTTGGGCAACCATTTGCTGTACATCTGCAAGTAAATAGATGTGTGAGTCAATACGCGTGGCTTCAAATTATGCCAGCTTGACTTTCCCTCACACATCAGAAATTAATTGAATATCTAATATATGCTAGGTATAGTACTATGTTGTATAGCATTAAGTTAGACATGAATCTTCTCCCCAAAATTTAAAATCTATTTGGCAAAATAGAAAATTAAACAACTTATTACAATAAAGATAAGTACTATGAGATAGCAAACAGTGTGCTTAGTCTGGGGAGTAGAGTCAGAACACTTCAATCTTTGGTAATCTTGACATAATTTTTTAAATTGACTTTTTAAGGTATTTTTACATACAAGAAAACTCACTGGCTGGGTGCAGTGGCTCATACCTATAATCCTAGCGCTTTGGGAGGCTGAGGCGGGTGAATCACAAGCTCAGCAGTTCAAACCCAGCCTGGCCAACAGAGTGAAACCCCGTCTCTACTAAAAATACAAAAAAATTTGCAGGGTGTAGTGGCGAGTGCCTGTTATCCCAGCTACTTGGGAGGCTGAGGCAGGAGAATTGTTTGAACCTGAGAGTTGGAGGTTGCAGTGAGCTGAGATCACACCACTGCACTCCAGCCCGGGCAACAGAGTGAGACTCCATCTCAAAAAAACAAAACAAAACAAAACAAAAAAACTCACCAATGTCAAATTTACTATTTGATTAATTTGGACAGATATATACACAGTTGTGTAACTTCTACCACAATCAGGACCATTTTCATCACTCCTAAAATTTCTCTTTTGCCCCCTTGTAGGCAATCTCATCCCCCTACCCATTTCCAACTTCTGACAATCACTTAACTGCTATTACTATAGTTTTGCCTTTTCTAGAATTTCATATACCTGGACTCATAATATGTAGTCTCTTATGTCTGGTTTCTTTCACTTAGCATAATATGGCTTTTAAGATCCATCCATGTGTCAACAGCTTGTTCCTTTTTATTTTTTAAGTAGAATTCCACTGTGTAGATACTGTACACTATCATTATTCATTACCAGTTAATGGACATTTGGGTCATTTCCTATTTTGGTCTATTATAGATAAAGCAGCTATGGACATTGGTGTACAAGTCTTTGTACATGTTTTTATTTTTCTTTGGTAAATACCTAAGGAATTTGGAGAATTGTATGGTATAAGAGGTATAAGAAATTGCAGGCCAGGCATAGTGGCTCACACCTGTAATCCCAGCACTTTGGGAGGCCAAGGCAGATGGATCACTTGAGGTCAGGAGTTTGCAACCGGCCTGGCCAACATGGTAAAACCCCATCTCTACTACAAATACAAAAATTTGCTGGGCATGTTGGCAAGCACCTGTAATCCTAGCTGCTAGGGGGGCTGAGGCAGGAGAATCACTTGAACTCAGGAGGCAGAGGCTGCAGTGAGCCGTGACTGTACCACTGCACTCCAGCCTGGGTGACAGAGTAAAACCGTGTCTAAAAAAAGAAAAAGAAAAGAACTTGCCATTCTAAAATGGCTGTGGCAATTGATTTTTTTTTTTTTTTTGCATTCTCACCAACAAAACATGAGAGTGCCAGTTGCTCCACATACGTGTCAACACTTGTTATAGTTGGTCTTTTTAATTTTAGCCATTCTGATAGGTGTGTAACAGCACTTCATTGTGCTTTGATTTGCATTTCTTTGATACCCAAAGATGTACATCTTTTTCTGTGCTTAATTGCCATTTATATATCTTCTTTGGTGAACTGGCTGTTGACATTTTTGCCTCATTTTTTAAATTGAATTGTCTTCTTATTATTGGGTTTAAAGGGTTATTTACATATTCAATATAAATCCTTTTCAGATACTTGTTTTGAAAATATTTTCTCCCAGTCTCTGGCTTGACTCTTCAAAGGAACAAGCTGTTGATACATTTTGCAGTATCTTTTCAAGACCAACCATTTTAATTTTGATTTGTCCTTTTTTTTTTTTTTTTGAGACAGGGTCTCTCTGTCACCAGAGCTGGAGTGCAGTGGCACAATCTTAGCTCACTGCAACCTCATACTCCTGGGCACAGGCTATTCTCCTGCCTCACCCTCCCAAGTAGCTGGGACTACACACACTTATTACTATGACCAGCTAATTTTTTGTAGAGACAGGGTCTTACTCTGTTGGCCAGGATGGTCTCAAACTCTTGGGCTCAAGCCACCCTCCTACCTCAGCCTCACAAAGTGCTGAGGTGAGAGCCACTGTACCTGATCCAATTTTTTTAATAGTTTGTGGTTTTTGTGTCCCATCAAGGTCACAAAGATTTTTGCCTTTATTTTCTTCTGTAAGTATTATGGTTTTAGCTCTTATATTTATGTGACCTGATTTTTATGTTCACTTCTAAACTTAATAAAAATTGTTCCAAAAGAATAGATATCCAAACCCAAACCTAGAGAAAGCATGCTCCTGGTAATAAGACACATCATCATTCTCTAGACTCCAGATTTAAAGTGGCATTTCAGGGAATACTGTCTCTCAGTTGGGATGAGGACCTTCTTGATTTAGATTTCTATGTGTTGTCAACAGAGGGCAAAACCAATGTGACTTGTTTGCCGATGTTCAGTGCTGTTTCCTCATCTGGAATGTGCTTTCTCCCCATGAGAAGTAAAGGAAGGGAGAAACATTATGGGGGTTGAAACCCCTCCCAGCTCTCCTCCAAAACGTTGCATGTGCCTCTTCCCTCTCACATTAGACTGAGTTTTCAAAATTCATCAGTCTCCACTACACTGCAGGCAGGAGAAGGTCAGGGCTTGTGCCTTGCTCTGTATCCCTAGGTTTGAGATGTAATTCAACAAACGCTTTGTGAATGAGAGGAAGAATTCCTGAGTCTGCTGTTCTGCTGGCGTATGGGAGCCACCAGGCACTATTGTGTAGTTTCCACGTCTACTGCGCAGGATCTTGGGACCATCTACCTTTAAAACCATCTCCGTACCCTTAGGGTTAGGCGCGCAGTAGAGAACTAACGGCAGAGAAAAGAGGAAGAAAATTTGTTTAAAATCCCAAACCCCAGCATGTATGACGGGAAGCAGGGAAACTGGGCAGCCTTCAGGTGTAGCAGACGGTGAAAAACATTCAGTATAGAATCCCAATTCCTCCTGGGCAACAACAACTCTCGGGGCTAAATTCCGTACTTCGAATTTTGGGGGCACTGTGTGGACCCAGGTTTCCCTAGTAGCGGAATACCATGAAGACTGAAATCCTCAGTCTGCGGGATTTAGGGGATTCAAAACTCACCCCCTGCGGGCACAGCAGCCCTGGTCGCCTAGCAACCACGGGTCGATCGCTCGGCGCTCGATTCGACCCGGCCGGATAGAGATACTGAGCTCCCGGCGGAGCTTCTCGCGGCCTGCGCATCTTCCGTGCGCACGCGCGGAGGGGCCTGGGGTGGGCGAGAGGCGCGGCGGGGCGCGGGCGCCGCTTGCGGGCCGCGGCGGGGTGGGTTGTACGCACTGGGGCCTAGTGGCGGGCGCCGAGAGTGGCTGAAGAGCCGGAAACGCACCGCGGAGGGTGCGGCCCTGAGGAGGCGGCGGGCCTGGAAGGGCCGGGCCGGGCGGGAAACGTGAGGGCAGCGGCCCCCGGGGTGAGGGGGCCGAGCGGACGGGCAGGGCCCCGAGGCGAACACTGCCCGGATGAGGAACAAAGCGGTGGGGCAGGCGCGCGCGCCCCCAGCGCAGCTGGCAGGTGGGCTGAGCGCGGGCCCCGCCGGGGCGGGGCGGCGCGGGGCGGGGCCAGGAAACGGGGCCTGCGGGCCTCGGGCAGGCAGGCGAAACCACAGCCCTTGGGAGGCGGGGGCTGCGCGCGGGCCCCGTCGGGGCGGGGCGGGGCGGGGCCAGGAAGCGGGGCCTGCGGGCCTCGGGCAGGCAGGCGAAACCACAGCCCTTGGGAGGCGGCGTCCGCAGCGCCTGGGGCTCTCAGGTGACTAGAAGACTGCGGCTACGACCTCCCTGTGGCTTTGGTGACTGCCCTTTTCTCCACTTCCCCAGGTTGGGCGGCCCCCCTCCCGAAACTTCTGGACGGAAGGCCCCAGGTGTTCTTCGACATGCTCCAACCCGTGGCGGCGTGCAGGGCCTCCGGCCCTTGGGAGAAGTTGGGAGGCCCTGGGCGGCCCCGGGGACGAATGGCCACGTCGGTGCTGCGGTTGTGAGCAAGATGCGGCAGCACGTGACCCTGGAACGCAAACCCTGATGCCGGTTCCCCAGCACCCGAGCGCTCCTTTCTCTGACATTTGGCCCCAAGCTGATGCATCACAGGTGAGTAGGGAGGTAGGCTTCAGCACTGGTGACATCTTTGGAAACTATCTGGCAAGTGAGTGTCCAGGGTCAGTGCCGTTGTTTTCTGGTGCTGTTGAGAAGGCTACAGGTGTGATTTGCAAAGGGAACGAGAAATCAAACTAGTGTTGGGTAGAATGTAATCTCATGCATCCTAATTTACTCCACGTGTGAAAAGTTGTTCCCAATAGCCTCACATTTATTGTTGGCTGGTTGACACCTTTTTCCTGTTATAGTTATTTGAGCGTTTAACAATATATTTTTCTGGATTTCAATGTGTATTGTAATCTCATGCTTCACCTTGAGTTTTGCTGGTGTGGCAGGGACGATAGAGTGAAAGAATTAAGTTCTTAATTCTGCAAGTACAGAAGCAGGCCAAATAAATCGTTGTATTTGGCTGTTTTGTTTTTTGTTTTTTCAGGGCCCTCTCAAAGGCCGTATGTTTATAATGAGGGAAATAAGGCACAAATATATTGAAATTATTGAAGCTCTGTTGCATTTTGCAAAGTGGCTGCATTTCAGTTAGCTTCTTATATTTTATGCGAAGAAAAAGGTGTAAAATCAGCAACTGGCAGATGGTTTCATAGGGCAGTTAGAAACACATAAACTGAACTGTGTAGGAAATGATTTTACTCTAAATGAGTAGGGAAGATAGAGCTTAGTATCTTGATTCTTGCCTTCTAGGATTGCTTCATAGAATCTCATAGAAAAAAATGAGAGTAGGGTTGCACTTTAGAATGAGAAAGTTATGAGGATCATATTGTACATTCGCTTCATCTGCTTCTCTGTGGGATACTCGTTACCTTTGGTTTATGGCTGCTGAAGTCATCACGTTTTAGTGACTGACAGCAAAGCAGAAATCTGCTGAGCCTCTCGCATTAAACTCTGGTTTGAACTGGTTTGAGAAGGCCTACGACTCAACCTAGAAACACCATGCTGATTTTTATCTTGAGATTAAATAAATATTCAGGAATTTTCAGAATGAGAGTTGAAGCTGCAGACTTACAGTTGTACTTTTAAAAAATTATTGTAACCAAATTGTGAAGTAGGCTGTTATGGCTGTAGTGATTGTAGTGTTTTAGTTATGGTTGTAGCTATAAAGAGTTATAGGGAAAAGTCTGTTTTAAACCAATTCAAGGCCAGCAACTTTCAAAGTTAACATAGATATGTTTTCTTTAGGCTACAGGGATTTTCTTGCTTATTTATTTTTTTTTTTTTAAAGACACAGTCTCACTCTGTCACCCCAGCTGAGAGTCTGCTGATGCAATCAGAGCTCATTGCAGCCCCGACCTCCCCAATTCAGCCTCCCCTGTAGCTGGAACCACAGGCAGGAACCACTACGCCTGGCTATTTTTTAAAAAATGTTTGGTAGAGACAAGGGTCTCCCTTTGTTGCCTAGGCAGGTCTCCAACTCCTGGGCTCAAGCGATCCTTGGCCTCCCAAAGTGCTGGGATTACAGATATAAATCACCACGCCTGGTCTGCTTCCTTTTATAGTGTAATAAAAACTGTTATTAGTATGCTGTTCTTCATAAGGTGTACCTCATTTCCCAGGTGCTTCTAACTGTCTTTCTGGTAAGGACGATGAGTTTGCATTGCTACATCCAATTAAAAAACAATTTCAGAATGTCTGTTCTATACAAGGTAGTAGGTTGGCCTTGTACATTTTATTGATGTCTTAGAGCTCAGTTTTATGGGATACATGGCCAGGGATAAGGGCAAAACCTATGGATGTATAATGGTGCAGGAAACAGGTCTATGTGGAACTTTAAATATACACCACAATATAAGTAGACAGGCCCTAATGTATTGCAACTGTGTAAAAGGCCTAATAGTTGTTTTATTATAATTTGTCTTTTTTTTTTTTTTTTTAACTATAGTTAAGAGGTTTAATTTCTTAAATTATATCTGAATTTAAATGCCAACTCTCCTTATTGGTTATGTGATTCTGGGTTAAGTTTCTTAGCATCGCTGAATCTTAAATTTCCTCATCTTTAAAGTGGGATTAAGAGTAATAACCTCCAGCCTGGGCAATATAGGGAGACCCCATCTCTGCAAAATAAAAACAGATTAGCCAGGCATGGTGGCACGTGCCTGTGGTCCCAGCTACTTAGGGGGCTGAGGTGGGAGGTCATAAGCCTAGGGGTTAGAGGTGGCAGTCAGCTGTGATATCGCCACTGCACTCCAGCCTGCAGCACCTGAGCAAAACCCCGTCTCAAAAACAAAACAACGGCAGGGCGCAGTGGCTCACGCCTGTAATCCTAGCACTTTGGGAGGCTGAGGCAGGTGGATAGCGAGGTCAGGAGATGGAGATCTTCCTGGCCAACACAGTGAAACCCCATCTCTACTAAAAATACAAAAATTCAGCCAGGTGTGGTGATGGACGCCTGTAGTCCCAGCTACTCGGGAGGCTGAGGCAGGAGAATCACTTGAACCTGGGAAGCAGAGGTTGCAGTAAGCTGAGATTGCGCCACTGCACTCCAGCCTGGGCCGCAAGAGTGAAACTCTGTCTCCAAAAAACAACACAACAACAACAAAAGGATTAAGAGAGATAGTGACATGTAAATCACTTAGCCCAATACATAGTAAGCCCAGTACATGGTAAGGGAGCCAAAAATTTTAGCTATTATTTATTTTCAGATCGATTGATAAAATGGTGTTGCCATTTTTCAGAATTAAAAACCTATTTAGATTTGCTTTCACTGCTAAGGAATATGTAACCACATTTGATTCCTTTTCTCTGCGTTATCCCTCCAATATGCAGATGAAGAATGCGTTATGATGATGCCCAGTGTAAGGACTGGAGGTCATTAGAGAGGCTCCTTTGGGAAAGCGTGATGGTTAGACTAGTGGCTCCATAATGTTTATAACATGGCAGTCTCTAAAGTCTAATGTAAGAACTAATACTTTTTGATAACAGCCTTCAATGCTGTTTTATTCAAATCAATTATTTGAAAGACTTTTGTAGTGGCAGTACAAAATGGATTGCATAGAAAAGGTGATTCCTAGATTCTTCAACTTGCCAAAAATAGTCCATAGTTAAAAAAAAAAGCTTGATGCAATGAACACTTTTTGGCAGTGTTTTGCAGTTTGATCTGTGCTCTTTCACTTAATAGCTATGTGATTTGGGGCATACGACATGGCCTCTTTGTGCCATAGTTCCCTCATCTATCTTACTTTGCAGTGTTGATGTGAGGATTTGAAGTCATTTTAAATGAAGTGGTAGCAAAGCTTACATAGTGACCCTCAATATATGGAGGACATTAAGATTAGGACATGAATATACTGATACAGAATTCTGATACAGAATTTTAGTAAGCCATTGCTCAATGGGGAAAATACGGTGCTTTTCATATCATTGATAATCTGGATCGTTAACTCCTGTTAAAAATCATTAGTGAAATTTATTTGAGTAGGTTAAAATGCACTGCCTGAAAAACTGGTTTGAAATAATAAGCCATTTAGAGAAAAATGCATATTACGAAAGACGAAACTTAGTGATTTAAAAAAAATATTCTAATTGCCATTGTGCTCTAAGGATTGCAACTTTACTTTAGATGTTGTGCATAGAGTTTCAAACAAAGCAGAATTCAAATCCTATTTCTGCTATGTGACATTGACTTGAGTTTGTTAATGTCTCAATCTCAGTTTTCTTTCAATCAGTAGAAAGAATTTGGCACTAGCTATCTAAGAGAATTGTTGAGCATAAAAGTCAAGCAATAGTTGGCCAAGTCCCATTTCCTTATCCCCGCTGTTTCAGGTTCTTCAGTATCTTAATATAGGTCGTGGAGGTAAATTTTGCATAACTAGTTGTATATGGTCTTTTCTAGGATGAATGAAATGAACCTGAGCCCAGTGGGGATGGAGCAGCTGACTTCATCCTCTGTGAGCAATGCCTTGCCAGTCTCAGGAAGTCACCTGGGATTGGCTGCCTCACCCACTCACAGTGCCATCCCTGCACCAGGTGAGTGGTAAGGGAGACAGACCTACTGCATTTCAACACTTAACTGTGTTATCAGTTCTGAATGGAGCCTAGAAGAGATCAGAGCCCCTCTAAGGGTAAAAGGGAGAAGGCAAGCAAGCCTGA